CCTTCTTTTTAACTCAAAATCATTCTTCATCATTTTTAAATCTTGAGTTCTTACAATGCCTTCTTCATGGAGATTGTCCAAACAATTTGAGGAGCAACAAAAAAGATTGTTGGCACAACAGGAAGAATTGTTCAATCTCGAGGAAGGTGGAGATAAGGCTTATGCAATGGAGGAGGATGAGGATAATGAACATAGAAAGCTTAGGGCCTCACATTCCCGCCGTGTCATGGAAGTTGTGGGTCAAATACCCAAACTCAAACGTGCTACAAACTTGGATAGAAAGAGGAAAAACGAGGAAAAGGTCTCTTGGAAGATTATTTTATCCCCAATTGTGTATTCCCTGATCATGTTTTTAGATGTCATTTTAGAATGCAACGAAGTTTGTTCGACAAAATCATGAGTGCTATTTGCAACCATGATCCATACTTTTTGCAAAAAAAAGATGTTTTTCATGTTCAAGGTCTTCTTCCTGAGCAAAAAACTAATGCTACCTTGCGGATGCTTGCATATAGAGCATTTGCAAATCAAGTGGATAGGATAACGAGGATGGGAAAATCAACTGTTTTGGAGTCCTTGATGCTGTTTTGCTCCGCAATCGAAGCCCTCTATACCAATGAGTACCTCCGGACACCCATGCTAACAGACCTGCAAAGGCTGCTGAGGAAATGTGAGATACGAGGCTTCCCTGGCATGATTGGAAGCATTGACTGCATGCACTGGACCTGGAAAAATTGTCCATGTGCGTGGCAAGGAGCTTATGACAACAGAAATGAAGCCAAAAGTACCATTTTGGAAGTGGTGGCTTCATTTGATACATGGATTTAGCATGCATTTTTTGGTGTTCCAAGAGCTCAGAATGACCTACATGTCCTTACCCAATCTTTAGTCTTCCACGAAATGTTGCAAGGAAAAGCACCCAGAGTCCCATATTGGGTCAATGGCCATAGATACGAATGAATGTACTACCTTGCAGACGACATTTACCCAAGGTGGACAACGTTTGTCAAAATAGTGGCACATCCACAAAGTGAAAAAGAAAAGCACTTCGCACAATATCAAAAGGGGTGTATAAAGGATGCAGAGCGTTGTTTTGATATCATGCAAGCCCAAGAGGGGTGTAGGAAGGATGCAGAGCGTTGTTTTGGTATCGTGCAAGCTTGTTGGGTAATTGTCAGGTTAGCTGCCAAAATGTTTGATGTCGAGGCTCTTCGATCCATCATGATGACATGTATCATTCTCCACAAGATGATTATGGAAGATGAGTATAATTATGATGTCGTTGATGAATATGAGCCGGACACAATGAACAACTCAAGAACACGTATCTAGGGGTGGGTTCGGTACGGTTACCGTACCAAAACCCTCGTACCAATTACCATACCAAACTTTCGGTTTGGTAAAATCTATTACCACTACCATACCAAACTTTCGGTATACCGAAGTTCGGTATTGCCAAATGTTCGGTTGGCATGGTATGGCAATGGTAATTGCCACTTTGTTTTGGGACAAAATTTGATTTTGCTTTTTTAACCCAATTCAAGGGCAAAACTTTTTTATTGTACCTTTATCTCATACATTGTAGCCTAAATTCATCTATTATTCATCATTTACAATTCACACACACAATAATTCAAATGATGCATCAAGATTCATGATGAAAATTAAGCTTACAATCCAAATAGAAGTTACGAACCAAAACAAATAGAAGTTTCCCCCATGCTAAAGATCTTCTCTATCCTCCATTGGTTCAAACACACCTCTAGAACTTTCCCAATGTCTTCTCCCTTATGACCCGTGATCTTTATGAAGTTTATGATCTGTTTGTGCAACTTTCATTCACTATCCATGAAGTGAGCGGTAACTACCATGTAGTTAATGTTTTGTACCGATGTCCAAGTATCGGTTGTGATACTTACCTTTTGATTATGCATTGCTTCAAATAACTTAGACTTCTCCAACACATATAAATCCCACACATTGGCCGCAATCTTCTTCCTATTTGGAATCTTGAACCAAGGTTGAGCCTCTTTCATCATATCAAATTATTAGAATATTATAAATATGTGTTATATAATAATATATTATATAATTTATAAATTATATATTATATTATATGTTCGGTACGGTAAGGTAATACCGTGGTAATGATATCCATTACCAATACCGTACCAAGAAATTTCGGTACGGTACAATACCGTACCATTACCGATTGGCACAAAAAATTTGGCACAAAATCGGTATGGCACGGTTGGTAATTCGGTTGGCACGGCAATTTGGCAAAAAAATCCACCCCTACACGTATCTATTATGCTCATGATAGCACCGACTATCCCGTGCAACATGAGCCATTGGAATGTGATGGACATTATAATCAATTTATCATTGAGTAGTACACTTCAATGCAAGGGCCATACTGGCACTGTACCCATCAAAGTGACTTAATTGAGCACTAGTGGAGATTGCAACAAGGTGAAGATAATTAAAAGGAGTTTGTGGTGGAAGAATAAAGTTCTTGGTTTATGTAATTTTATTTCGTGTGTTTTTTTAAGTTTATTTGGTTTCGTTTATGTAATTTTATTTCGTGTGTTCTTTTAAGTTTATTTGGTTTCGTTTAAGAAATTACATTTATTACTATAAATAAATAAGAAATTACATAAAGTACTACAAATAAATAAGAAATTACATAAGGTACTGAAAATAAAGAAGAAATTACATAAAGTACTAAAAATTAAGACGAAATTAAATAAAGTACTACAAATAAATACGAAATTATACAAAGTTTGTGGAGCTAGGATATGTGGTGCTAGGATCTTCGTTGCTAGGATTTGTGTAGCTAGAACCCCCTCGACTTGTTTCCGCGTCTCTTGCAGCCTCATTCGCACCACGTTTCTTTTTTTCGATGTCCAAAAATATTTTGAATTCGGAGACAGTCCTACTAGAGGCTTGTTCATAGAGTCACAATCTGCTTGAGCCATCATTTCTTCTCTAAGCATCTCGTTTTCTCAATTAAGTATTTCTATTTGTCTCTCAACAGCCGCATCACGTCTCTCAGTAGCTGCTAATATTGCTGCCATAGTAGCAACTTTTTCCTTATCTCTAGCCGTTTCCCACGCCATGGTTAGTTCACCTTGGCAAGCAAGTTCATCCATATTTTGTGTAGTCATTTTTGGAAGAACTCCATTTTTTCTTTGCCACCTTTTTACCTTGAGGCCTTAGGGACCCACGAGTCAGTTGAGTCTCTGGCACTTCTTTGGACGTCCCTTATGGCACTTCTTCAAATGCGTCTTCGTCATGTGCGTCAGTGTCTGGTTCTGGCGAATTGAGTAGAGGGACGCCGTGCATGACAACTTTTGGACCTGTTGGCACAATTTTGTATCTGGGACAATTTTTGACAATATTATAAAATGCTTATGCATGACAACTTCTGGACCTGTTGAATGATTTGTTGTGGTTCTTCGAATTGTAGAATGCTTGTGCTTGTAGTGTCTACAAAATGTGGGATAAGACAATATTATAAAATGCGGGTGTAACACAAATAAATTAATTAAAATATTGATGTGGGTGGTATACATATAAATAAATAAAAATATTGTCACCTGATTCGCTAAACTTGTCCCACTACGCAAATTACTGGAAGCAATCGAGAGAGTGTTTTTCCAACAAGTGAAGGATATGTTGAGTTTTTCCAACGCCCTTGAAGATCTTGACTACTTCTAGCGTCTTTTCCATGTATAGCGCAAAACGCTTTCGTAATTCTACTCCACATTTCTCGCAACTCCATCTCATTACCTGTAATCGGGTCATGAGTGACTTGAACCCATCATTCACACAACGTAACATCTTCGATGAGCTTCCACGTAGCCATTTTTTCACACAAAAAGTATATGAAAGCTTTGGTAGAAAGTGTTGAAAATATTGAAATGTGGTATAAGGTGGAATATGAGTGTTACGTATTTATAGACAAATAAATAAAACTTTTAATTTTTCTTTATTTTTAATAATTTTTTTATTAAGTTTAGTTTAGTTAATTAATCTAGACCGTTGGATTTGAAAAAGATTCAAATCCAACAGCCTATATGTTGACATGTGGCCAACGGTCATAATTATGATCGTTGTGCCTTTTTAAAAAAAAATTTGGGCGGAAAAATGTGGACCGTTGATTGCTAGATCAGATGGCCCAAATCACGACATGTCACTAGCTGTTGGATTTCAAATTCAAATTTTTTTTACCGTTGGAAATCCAAAGGTTCAGAAAACTAGCCGTTGGAAATCCAACGGCCCAGAATGAGCCACGTGGCCTTCTCGTAAAAGTCGTTAGTGTGCCTGCGCCTGCGGGCCCCACCTGCGTTTTCTTGTCGGGGACGTGCGCCTGACGCCAAAAAAATTTAAAAGAGCCTATAACGTCACATAGGCCAAGCCTTGGCTCAACACATTCTGGGCCGACCTATGGGATGGCTTGGGCTGTTAGCCAACCTACATATCTGGGTTGAAGGGGATTGGTTGGGCGCTGGGCCATTTTGGCTGCTGGGTGCTGGCCTAAATGTCCCTGGTGGACTTGCTCTAACAATTTACCAAAAACTCAGATACTGAATTTTTTTGTTGAAAGCACTTTTACGAAAAAAGTTTACCAAACACTCAATTGCGTTATTTTATAGTTATTTATTCTCACTATAGAAGGGCTTTTTTTTTTTTTTTCCAAAAAGAAAAGCATAGCAATACCAACCTAACCCTAAAAACCCTGTTTGGTATTGCTTCTTTTACCATAAAACTTCTTCACTTTAAAGTTAAGCAATCAAAAGTGTTTGGTAAAACTAAAATATTCTACTTATTTTAAAGTAATGGCCTCTAGGTACCACCTTTTTAAAGACAACATGTAGGTGGCTTTTAAAAGTTTTCATAAAACAACGAGTTGAGCTTTTAATGAACATTTTCAATTCCTGTAAAACCTTCATTTTGTTTATGAAATGATATTATTTATCTTTCTACACACGTTTTATTCCTTAGAGAACACCACCAACATCGTTGCTACTGTCATCACGATCACCACCATCATTGTTGCCACCGCTGCCCTCACCACCACTGTCGTTGCCACAACCACCTCCACTATCGCTACCACCGCCACCTCCACCACTACCACAATCGCCACCACTCTCTACCACCACTGCTACCTCTACACCCAACCACCACATCCTATTATTGACACTACCACCATACACCACTTTTGTCACTGCTATGATCACCACTGCGCCACCACCGATGTCATCGCCGCCACCCCTGCTATCATGTCCATTTTTGTCTTTATATACAATTATATCACTTATGTTAACATTTATCATACACTATTACATTGTTTTTTATACTTCCGCACTTGAAAAAATACAGTATATCAAATACTTTAGTACTTTATTTTACAGCTGATTATTCTTAAAGCATGGCTGATGCAGTTTTTTTATTTTTTTTTATTTTTTTTTTATTTTTATTTTTTGAAAAAGCACAACAAATCCCAAACTGGCCGTAAATCAATTTTATTACCATGAGGAGGTTATTATAAGTTATAACCTATTAGAGAGGTGTAGTTACGGAAATTATTTTTTGACTTAGGTATCCTTAATGAAAGTTTAATGGATACAAATTACAAAGTATTACATAATAGTATAGCATGCCAATTTGCAAAATGTAGACATTTGGAAAAAGAAACACCTTATCCTTAAATAGTTAGTCTATGTATGTAGTGGTTAAGAAGATATGTACAGGGTCAAGGTCATGTTGACAATTATTAAATTTCTTAAGATGAAACCAAGAAAAATTATAATCTATATAATGTGGAGTTTATTCATATATAACTGGTCCCAGGGCCGGCCCAGGCCCAGTGCAGGTAGGCCGACCGTCCAGGGCCTAAAAAAATTGGGGGCACCAAAATTATTCGGGTGGTATATTTATATATGTTTTTATAAGAGTATAATGACAAAGGAATTTAACTAGAAGTGGTGGTTTTGTAATTTGAAATTAATGAGAAGGTCTTGGGTTCAAGACACCACGTGTGCTTATTTACTTTCCAATTTTTACAATTTTTTTTCTTCATAAGAGTATATATTTATAAAATTTGGTTAAATACTCAAGAAGTTTAATTAAAAACAATGATTTTTTTTGTTTAAAATTAACGAGAGGTCCTAAGTTTGAAATGCTATGTGCGTGTTTATTCTTTTCAATTTTAACAAATTTTTGTTTGGTTGTTAATTTATTTTTAGTTACTAGCTAGTAACTATATGGGTTGCTATTTTTAAATATTCTTTCAAATTCAAGTCTAATATTCAACAAACAGTAATGCGTAGACCAAATTTTTAGAGCAAATTTACAAATCATATGACGTGTCATCAAAAGGTTTAATTTAGTACCCATTCATTACTTATACATATCAATTAAAGACTCGAAAACATTATTATTTTTTTATTCCTATATTGACAAGGTTAGTAAATAAGAAAAAACACCTCACAATTTATACAAAAACACTTTAAAAGTTCAGATGGAAAAAAAACTCATTTATCTACTTGTAAGCCATGAGTTTTTTGGTTTTCTTCTCTTGATACAAAATAAATTAGTCTTTCTGTGTTTCAAAATTATTGAGTTCGAAATGATTTTCTAAGTATAATTTTATCGATATCTTTTATGTAAAAATAAATAATTTTCTTATGTGAAGTTAAGGCATATTTTTTAGCGTCGCCCCGGACCTCAAAAATCTCTAGACCGGCCCTGACTGGTCCAAAATGGGATTAAAACCTTTGATGACCAAATTGAGGTTATTTCTATATAGAGTATCACTGTAGAGAGGTTCAATTGTATTAAGCAAAACGAAGAAAATAAGTATAAAACTTTCCTTCTTACCCGTGAGAGGAATCCACATTTCTTCCTCACATGAGACCATTTCACCGTACAAATATCTTAATATAAATTGTTTATTTGGTTCATTGTCATCTACAAGTTATTCATTTTGAAGAACGTATAGCTTTTCATACTTTTCAAACAAATAAAAAAAGAAGACAATAAATTAGCAGTAAAGAAAACCTAAACTGTGTTAAGAGTTTTTTTAATAATATTGGGTGTCAATACATTTGCCCTTAGATGACTTTCTAACGATGTGACATACTTAAAATAAAAGTCAAGCAAATTCAGACAAAAACGAATCAAAGGAAATAAAATACATATTTGCTTTCCTCCAACTACCATCAACTTAGTTTTCATATTTCCTGTTGAAAAATTAATTAATTTTGTTAATGGTCTTGGGGAGAAAGGGTCGGAAGGGAAGGGAAGGGAAAGGATGTGGAGACAAATGAGAGGAAGGGCGCATTGCAAGGAGCAAGAGAGAAGGGTAAGCTTGGAGACAATAACGGGGAGTTTGAATGGATAGGAAAATGTCAAAGGCAAGTATATAAGACGAAACAGATCTACTTGGGACAACAATAGCAAAAGAAGACAATCATCGTCTTCCAATTCACTGCTGATACAAAATATATAGAATTAAAGAGAGACAGAGAAAGAGGCATCGATTTGTGCGTGTAATAAATTATAAAAAAGATGTCTGGGATGATGCTTATGCTGCTGCTATGCCTTTCAGTGGGGACAATGTCGGTAGTCCACTGTGGAGATCCTACCATTTTCTTCACATGGAACGTGACCTACGGAACCCTCTCACCCCTCGGAGTTCCCCAGCAAGTCATTCTCATAAATGGCCAATTTCCTGGACCCAACATCAACTCCACCACCAACAACAACGTTATCGTCAACGTCTTCAATAACCTTGACGAGCCATTCCTCATCACATGGTACGTACATTAACTTACTAGTTACTACTACTCATGCAATTGCAGATTCGCAAATTTGCAATGCAATCCAGCCCTACGCCCTCACCCATTAATTATCAATAAATTAATTAATAACCATCACATCCATCGACCCCAGTTATATATGTTTGATTGCATGCAAGCAGGGTGGGTGTCCAGCAGAGGAAGAATTCATGGCAAGATGGAGTTCTTGGAACCATGTGCCCCATCCCCCCCGGAACGAACTACACCTACAAATTCCAAGTCAAGGATCAGATTGGGAGCTTCATGTACTACCCTGTAACGGCCATGCATAGGGCAGCCGGTGGCTTTGGAGGCCTCCGCATCAACAGCCGTAATTTGATTCCCGTTCCTTACGCTGCTCCCGAGGATGATTACACTGTCATGATCGGTGACTGGTACTCCAAAAGCCATAGTCAACTCAAGAAATTCTTGGATAGCGGCCGCGCCATGGCCAGGCCTGACGGCGTCCTCATTAACGGCAAATCAGCAAAAGGAGATGGCAAGGACGAGCCCCTCTTCACCATGAAGGCTGGCAAAACTTACAAGTACAGGATCTGCAACGTGGGGCTCAAGAACTCCCTCAACTTTAGGATACAAGGCCACCAAATGAAGCTTGTTGAGACGGAGGGCTCCCACACCGTCCAAAACACCTACGATTCGCTTGATGTGCATATTGGCCAATGCTTCGCGGTGCTTGTCACAGCCGACAAGGAGCCCAAGGACTACTATATGGTGGCTTCCACCCGATTCTCCAAGAGCGTGCTCACCGGCAAAGGCATCATCCGCTACGAAAATGGTAAGGGACCCGCCTCCCCTGAAGTCCCCAAGGCTCCAGTGGGATGGGCCTGGTCTCTCAACCAGTTCCGTTCCTTCCGCTGGAACCTCACTGCCAGCGCTGCCAGGCCTAACCCTCAGGGCTCCTACCACTATGGAAAGATTAACATCACCCGCACCATCAAGCTCATCAACTCTGCTAGCAAGGCCGACGGGAAGCTTCGCTATGCCATCAACGGAATCTCCCACGTGGACCCTGAAACCCCACTCAAGTTGGCCGACTACTATGGAATCCGTGAGAAGGTCTTCAAGTTCGACACCATGAAGGTTGATCCCCAATCGACACCTGCAGAAAAGATCACCATGGAACCCAATGTTCTTAATATAACAATCAAAGACTTCGTGGAGATCATCTTTGAGAACCCCGAGAAGAGCCTCCAGACATGGCATTTGAACGGATACTCCTTCTTCGCTGTCGCGTAAGTGCAGCTAAGCATGCCTGCATTTTCTTTCTCTCTCTCTCTCTCTCTCTCTCTCACACGTGCACGCGCTATACAAATATATATATATATGTATGTATGTATGTATGTATGTATGTATGTATGTATATAGATACTTCTCTTTTAACTAAGAATAAATATAGGCCATAAATATATATCATATTGTTAATGAATTCTTCTCTATCTGTAACTGATCGTCAGCGTGGAGCCCGGGAAGTGGACCCCAGAAAAGAGGAAGAACTACAACCTTCTCGACGCCTTGAGCAGGCACACCATCCAAGTGTTCCCCAAATCTTGGGCTGCCATCCTGCTGACATTCGACAACGCCGGAATGTGGAATCTTAGGTCAGAGCAGCCGGAGAGGCGCTACCTAGGACAACAGCTCTACGTGGGAGTTGAAAATATTAAACGCTCCCTCAGGAATGAGTACAACATGCCAGACACTGCCCTTGTCTGTGGCCTCGTCAAGGGCATGCCTAAGCCCCCGCCTTACAGCACGTAAGATATATCACCGCCATGCTATGCCGCTTCACACTAGCTATATATGACATAGATACCAGCAAGGATGGAGATGACAGCGGGGGATTCGAATAGTGTGCGCGTGTGAGACAGGAGAGATCATTACAATTTATGTATTTCTTCGCAGCTAATTTAAGCAAACAAAGTTAGGGAACGGTAAAGAATAAGGGTTGGAATGTATGCCATCACATTTTCCTATCAGATAAAATAAAAGAGAAGAAATCCCATTAAATTTTTGTACTTTCATTTATTTTGGAATTTGTTATCTCTCCCTTTTGTACAAGATTTTATCATTAATAGCCAAAATTTATGATTTATCCCATCATTTTTACATCATTTTTATATGTCAGTTTTCATAAAAACTTTCTAATGTAGCAGAAAACATATACGAATATACCGAAGTACCCTCAATGTTATAAACCAAAACCCTAATGTCAATTTACCTTTTAGATGAGATATTCTCTTAATTTTGGTTAACCTTAAACCAAGAACGGAAGCCAACAAACAGGAAAACCGATTTGTTTCAGTTGAGAACTTGCGACATTTGCAGTGAACAGCATAAGTAAACAATCATGACAATCTATTTGTTGCAAGAACAAAGATTTGTTTAATTTTTAGATGGGATATTGTCAATTTTCATTAACCTTGGATTAGTTTTTCAGTGAAGGTATATGGAATTGTTTATGTGTCCCACCATTACCA